AAAATCTTTAAAAAAAAAAAAAAACAAGAAAAAACAAGTGTATCTCCTGGAATACTACTTGGCAATACAAAGGAGCAAGCTCTTGATACATACAACCGCATGGATGCATCTCAGAATAACTATGCTGAGTGAAAGAAGCCAGACCAAAAGAGAGTCCATAGCATATGACTTGATTTATATAAAATTCTAGAAAATTAGAAGGGATCTAAAGTGATCTGTAATGATAGTGGTTGCCTGGGGAAGGGGGAAGGAATAGAGAGGGATGTATTACTAAGGGACTCAAGGAAACTTTGGGGAGCATATTAGTCAGAGTCCTCCAGAAAAACAGAACAAATAAATATATATAGATATGTATATATATTCATCATATATGTATTCTTATGTGAACATATATTCATATATTTTATATATTTACCATAGGAGGTGCATAATCAATGCAGTAAGTCTGACTCAGGAATGATCCTGAAAGACAGTGGTGAAGGGAAAGCCTCCCAGTAGATACATTTTGGCCAATCTGGTTGTGTGCTTTGGAGGTCTACACTGACTAATGAGTTATGGGTAATAGATTCACTGGCTGGTCAGGAAACCTAAATGGTCAAGACCAGAAGGCTTGTGGCCGGGAAGTCTGGGAAAGAGGTACATGGATGGAAGCCCCAGGATGAGCACCATGTGAAGATACCAAGGTATCATGGATGTTCCCATCTGGGGCACCCACTGCAGAGCCCCCAAGCAGAGGTGCTTGATAATCAAGCTGATGAAATGATCAATCTGTCCTGTAAATGTCAGTCAGCCCATTTCCTCTGTCACCTCAGTGCATCATCAGTAAGTACCCTTCACTAGGGCTAATAGAGATATCATCTCCATTGAGTTCCCAAACTGCTAACTAACTACTAGTTAAGACCACCACCAAATCCCCGATATTGGGGGGGCCAGGCCGGTAACTTGTATTGCTCCTTCATGGAGACAACCAGCAGTCTGCTCTTCCACTGGGGGGCCAGGCCAGTAACTTGTATTGCTCCTTCATGGAGACAACCAGCAGTCTGCTCTCCTAGGAAGGGAGTCCTGTTCCAGATACAGACTTGCTTTCTCTACTTGCCATGCTTCTGCCAGCACCACCACTTGAAGGTTTTCAAAAAGCCCTATTCATTGTCATGGTAACCCACACAACATCATCTCCAACCAAGGAGTTCATTATATAGCAAAAGGCATGAGGCACTGAGTTCATGCCCATGGAATTCACTGGTCTGTGCATGGTTACTGAGATACTCAGTGGCAACTGTTTGAATGGACTGGGGAATGGCCTGCTGAGGGCTCAGTTATGGCACCAACTGGAGATACCTCCTCCAGGAGATACCACATCTATATGGTGCTGTTTCCCCCATAGCCAGAAGACGCAGGTTCTCTTCTTTGACAGGGTATCCCTAGAGACTCGAATTGGTCTGGAGTGTAACCTGGGGAGGAAATGTTCGAGATTTGAAGAGGAGAAGGTGTGACATGATCACTTAGGTTTGTGGACGTGTACAAGGACTAGGGTGGAGGTGAAGTGATCTCTCTCACGATTTCACCAAACAATCCTTTTACAGAACATTGGTTTCCCTCATAACGTTGGACTCTGTAGGTTTGCAGGTCCTAGTGCATGTGAAGGAACATTCCCTGGAGAACACAATCTTGAACCCATTAAACTAGAAGCTCAGGTTTATGACTGGCCCTTTTGGGCTTCTTTTGGGCATCTCATGCTGCTGACCCAGCAGTCATTGAATGGAGTTCACTGTACTGGCCGGGTAGAACAAAACAGGGGCAAGGAGGACCGCATATGAGCCAGAGGATTTGTCGCATAGTCTAACCTGTGATCAGTGCCTGATAGGACTTGGTGTCTCCTCTGGGTGGGGGCCGCAGGCTTTATTCCTCTAAATAAAGGACAAAAACTCTCTCCGATTCATTTTCCATCCCTCTCTTGCCTGCTTTGTGCCCAGGAGGCTGACCACTACAGACTGTATCATCTGGGCTCTCTCATCTTCTGGCTTCCAGTTGGATTTGACCCAAGAGGCACGAGCAGGAGATGGTAGGTTTGGAGAAAAGGTATGCGAGGGGATTTATCACGATTCTGACTGGTTGCTTGCCCTTACTGCTCCTGATGGGATGACCTTCTTCCACATGGCTCTGATAGCATCATCCCTCTCTTTGTCCCCTTGGTCTCCCTTTGGTGCTAGTGTCTGGGTGTCTTATCATTATTTTCCCTTAGCCCTGCCCACATCTCATGAAGAGGCCCTTCATTAACTTTCTTCAATTAAACCTTCTTTCTGTGCTATATACTTCCTGCTGGTGGCCTCACTGACCCTGGGACCTTTAAGTAATTCACCTTCACTGAAGCATAAAGTTCATGGTGAGAGGAAATGCTAAGAAAGGAAGTTGTACAGGGAGGGTGATCGATTATGAGAGGTGTTGTACACTGGGGTAATGTCAGCTTCACATGGCATTGAGGAAACTAACCTCTTTGTGCCTCTGTTTCATCACCTACAGAATAAGGAAAACAACAGGACCCATCTTTTGGATGACTGAGAAACATTTAGAACAGTGCCTGGCACAGAGAGTGATCAACATAGTTAGGGACAGTGAATCACTGCAAGGTTTTAGGCAAGCAAGTGACCAGGTCAGATTTGGTGATTCAAAAAGCTACTCTGGAGGAAATGTGGAGAAGACACAGGGTTTGTCAGTGACCAAGTGGAGCGGAATAAGATTAGAGGCAGGAATATCAGTAAGGAGACTACTGCAAGAGTCCTAGCAAAATAAAGAAATACATATATACATAGGGACGCCTGGGTGGCTCAGTCAGTTGGGCATCCAACTCTTGGTTTTGGCTCAGGTCATGATCTCAGGGTCATGGGATCGGACCCCATGTCAGGCTCTGCGCTCAGTGGGGAGTCTGCTTGTCCCTCTCCCTCTGCCCCTCCCTCCCCACTCAAATAAATAAATAAATAAATTAATTAATTAAATAAAATCTTTTAAAAAATAAATATATATATACATAATAAAATTATGAGGATGTACCATCCAAACAAAGAATTAAACTAAGAAAGAAAAAACATAGGATATAAGAAATAGGACTGCCAGCACAATATCTGGGACCTTTAGGTAGTTCAGTTTTGCTGAAATATAACATGCAAGGTGAGGATCATGGTAGAGCTCCACACCTACATTGACTGAGGTCAGGAGAGACTCCTTCTAGCTTGCTGTCACTCTCTCCACCACCACTCCCGGCAGACGCTTAACGACTGAGCCACCCATGTGCCCCAGACTCATCTTAATTCCTGATGACTTGAATATCCATATAGAGGATACTTCAATTCAGCTCCCCTCCTCCAATGACTCTGTCCTCCACCCCGCCTCCCAGCTGCTCATTTTCATGGTCTCACCCCTAGACCTTATTACCAATAACGGCAACCTTCCCATGCCTGAGTCACCATCCATATCTTCTCCTCTCCACGTCCCCCCAAGATCTCTTCCCCATCCTCAAGATTAGTTGATGAGCATGCCCCCTATTTCACTGAGGAAATAGCAGCAGTCAGCAGGGAGCTCCCATAAGCTCCCACAACTGCCTGTCCCACCTGCCTGCCTCTGTGCCTGCATGCTCTTCCCTCTGGTTCTCTGCCAGCTCATCCCAGAGACCCCGACTTAATGTGCCGGGTGCAGCCTAGGCATGGAGGTCTTGAAATGTTTCCCAGATGATCTTAGCATACATCCAACATTGAAAGTTGCTACTGTGGATGGGTAGCCCCTGCTATCTCCCTTTACCTACTCCAGGAGATTGTTCCAGAAGTCGTTCTCTCCCTCCCAGCCTCATTGATTTTTCCCCTCTACTGGCTCTTTCCCACCAGCTACAAACATGCTATTAAGTTCCCCAATTTAAGGAAAACTTTTCAACCCCATTTCTTCCTCCAACTACTGCCCCACTTTTCTACTCCCCTTTGAAGCAAAAATTCTCTAAAGCATTGTCCGTACTTGTGTCTGTAATTCCTTTTCTCCCATTTGCTCTCCAGGCTTTGCCCCACGGACCCACCAAAGCTGTTGTCATCAAGTTCACCAATGGCTTCTTCATTGTTGTCGTCAATGGCCAAAGACTAGTCTTCAACTTTAGTGGCCATCACCAACATCTGACACAACTCACTCCTCTCTCCCTAGAATGCTTTCTTGACTTGGCTTTCAGGGTACCACATTCTTCCTGTCTTCCTCCTAATTCTAGATGGATCCATCTCAGCATCATTTTCTGGCTTCTCCTTATATCTGAGCCCTTAACACTGAACAGCCCCAAGGCTTAGGATTCAATTCCTCATCCTCTTAGGGCACTTGTCCAGTCTCCTGGCATTAATGCCATCTAAATGGTGACTCTTAAATGTATATTTCCAGCCTGAACTCCAGAATCCTACATCCAAATACCACCTTGACATCTCTTCTTCTTTTTTTTTTTTTTAAAGATTTTATTTATTTATTCATGAGAGACAGAGAGAGAGAGAGA